AGGAAGGAAGGAAGGAAGGAAGGAAGGAAGGAAGGAAGGAAGGAAGAGGCTGACTCTGTCAACTGCTTAGAGAGGGCTGCAAAGCACTGTGAAGAGGTATATAAGTCTAAATGGGAAGGGAGGGAGGGAGGGAGGGAGGGAGGGAGGAAGGAAGGAAGGAAGGAAGGAAGGAAGGAAGGAAGGAAGAAGAGGCTGACTCTGTCAACCACTTAGAGAGGATTGCAAAGCACTGTGAAGCAGTATATAAGTCTAAGGGCTATGGCTATTACAGGCAGTCCTTGACTTATAACAGTTCATTTAGTGACAACTCACAGAAGGAATCCTGGCAAACATGAATCACAATGGAACGGCACTGAAAAAAGTGACGTATGACCGGTTTTCACGCTAACGACTATTGCAGCATCCCCAGGGTCACGTGATCAAAATTCAGACTCTTGGCAACTGGAATGTTGTTGGGGGTCTTTTTTTGACAGTTGCAGTGCTTCCCGGGGTCCCCTTTTGCAACCTTCTGAGAAGCCAAGCCAATGGGGAAGCCAGAGGTTCAGTGTTACTGACAACTTGACAACTGCAGTGACTCACTGAATAACTGTGGCAAGAAAGGTCCTAAAATGGGCCAAAACTCACTTAACAATGGTCTTGCTTAGCAACGGAAACTTTGGACTCACTGGTGGTCATCGTAAGTCAAAGGCCACCTGCATCCTGCCAATAGGTCTGATCAGATTCCTGCCCCTGGCCAGGTACGCACCTTGCTTGCGCACATCCTCCACGGCAGCCACCAACTCGTCCTTCAGGTCTTGGCTTTCCTTCGCAATCTGTTCTCCTTTCTCCAAGAAGTTCTGGGTGGCCTGTTCAACCGACGCGGCTAAGACGTGGGCCTTCTTGGACCGGCCTTTCTTTTTCCCCGAAGGCCCTTTGTTGCTGGTGTTTACGAGGGTCGTCACCTGGGAAGGAGAAACCAAGAAAGCCAGTTCTGAGTATATCGATTGTCCTAAGAGACCCATTTCAGTATTGGTGAGAAGTCTGTTTCTTTTTCATTGGATGCTGAAGTTTTGTAAAGTTAATTTGAAGTAGGACACCAGCAGAACTTGACATGGTCATTAGGGTAGAATCTCCAGCTTGAATAGAGGGAATAATGAAGAGACAGAGAGACAGACAGATGATAGGTGCGTAGGTAGGTAGGTAGGTAGGTAGGTAGGTAGGTAGGTGGATGATGGATGGAGGGAGGGAGGGGAAGGGAGAAGAGAAAGAAAGTGAAAGAGAGAAAGTGAAAGTGAAAGTGAAAGTGAACGTGAAAGAGAGAGAGAGAGAGAGAGAGAGAGAGAGAGAGAGAGAGAGAGAGAGAAGTAACTCTTTATTGTCCAATTATGATTGGACGGACACACAAGGAATTTGTCTCCGGTACATAAGTTCTCAATGTACATACAAGCAACAAGTGATCAATCATGTTCATAATCATAAAATACAATTATCACAAGAGAGCACTCAATGATAGTCATAAGATACTAAATAAAAGCAATCAACATAAATCATAAATCCGGAGAACGGTAGGAAGCCAGGCAGACTTGACCTCCCTTAAAACCCCTGAGACCTTTATCGGGCTCTTCCCAAGCGAATAGGTTGACAGCAGTAAAGAAGCCATTCCAATCATCTCATTGTGTCGTTCTGGTTCCTTGTGCCTGGGAATCAGGTTAGTACAGGAGGAGGTTGAAACAAAGGTGGAAGGCAAAGGAGTCCCTGCAGTTGTTGCTGGCTACAGGGGACGATGCTCATCTCCATTTCAAGGCCAAGGCTGACTGAAGACATTTTCCCGGTCATGTGGCCGGCATGAGATCACAGAATGCTGTTACCTTCCCACCAAAGTGGTGCCTGTTTATCTACTTGCATTTGCCTGCTTTCGAATTGTTAGGTTGACGAGAGCTAAAGTGAGGACAGGAACTCACCCCGTCACGGGGCGCTTGGGTCTCAAACCTGGGCTGCCGGCTTTCCAGCTTTCCAGCATCTTAACTACTTAATTACTTTAACCACTGAAGCCTCCTTCTAATTATCATTTAAAGCTTTTCATTGTTGTTTTCATTGTTTAAGGCAAGGGTCCCCAAATCCCCAAGCCGAGGCCCAGTGCCTGGCCATGACCTGTTGGAAACGGAGGGAGAGCGCAGGTATGCATGAACCTACATCTCTGCAAGCTGAGTGCGCATGCACAAAACTATCCCCTCTCCCTCCCCCAACCCCTTCTGCCATTGGTCCACAGTGCCAGAAAGCTTGGGGCTATATAAATTATAAAGAATATTTTTTTTCAAGCTGAACTGTTTGTTATTTTAATAATGTTTCATAGAGTGTGACTGTATGTTTGCTGTTATATTATAAAACAACCCGAGCTGCTAATTATATAGGCAGCTCATACATTCTCAACCATGCCATCAGTCCACTTTCAGATCCAACTTATGGATGGGAAGCAGAGGTGGAATTCAGCCAGTTCTGACCCATTCTGGAGCGGAACTAGTAGCGGAAACTTTGAGTAGTTCAGAATACCCACCTCCGACTGGCCCCACCAACCCCCCATCTCTTCTCTGCCTCCCATCGAGTCCCAGCTGATCAGCTGGGTCTCCTTTGGTTGCCCTGCACAGGAGAGCGGACCTGGAAAGCAGGTTAGTGGGGTGGGGAAGGAAGGGGGATTTTGCACCAAGCCACATCACGCCCACCAAGCCACGCCCACAGAGCCGGTAGTAAAAACTGTTGAATCCCACCACTGATGGGAAGGGATAAGAAAGACAGTCAATGTGACCTCCCGCCAGCTGCCTTTCTCATTCCCTGGGCAGGGAGAAAGGATCGAGGGAGGCTCAAGGGTTTGCGTTGGATCGCCTGTGCTACATCATCAGTCAGGCGTAAAAAGAAGCATGATGGCTTCTTGTATGCGCAAGGGAAAGGGAAGAGACGTCATCTGGACTGAAGTGATTTCTCTTCCACATCTCCAGAGGTTGAATACCGCTGCATTCGGTAAACCTTGTCCAGGGCTGTGCTGCTGCTGCTGCTGCTGCTGCTGGCTCCTATTCGAAATTTCCTTTTCAAAAATCTCACCCATCTTCAATAGTCCTCGGACACTAAAGGTAAAATTATTCCTCTTTAGCCAATCAGCTCCTCAAACCCCTGGTTTATTTCTCCAGGGGCAGAAATCCACCGAAGACGACGCCTTCTCTTTGCCTTTCCCCATTTCTCTTTTCATAAAGCATTTGACAGCCTGCCAGTTCATTATTATTATTATTTTTTTGGGGGGGGGGGTCAGATCTCTTTGTGAGGCCTCCATCAAAATTTTCAACATCATGAAAAGTGGTTCTTTCCGAGCAATTTGACCAGGCGTTTGAGGAGCTGCTGCAGTGTAGCGCCAACGTATGAAGAATATACAGATCCATCTATCATCTTCACCCAATTAATATCTGTTTCTAAACTTGGTTTTCTATAGCAATGTTTCTCAACCGTGGCCGCTTGAAGAGGTGTGGACTTCAACTACCAACTATGCTGGCTCTGGAATTCTGGAAATTGAAGTCCACACCTCTTCAAGCGGCCACGGTTGAGACACACTGTTCTATAGTGCTCTGACCAAGGCTTCCTGAGACATTAACAAACACACATTAGTCCCAAAAACCTTTTGTTTTATTTCAACAGCTGTGAATTATAGTCATTCACAGCCCATAATGAGTCCCAAACAGTTTGTAAATAGTCCCACAGAAGTCCTTCAGGATAAATCTGATAAGCACCCACCTTTATCTTCCTTGGAATGCTGCCAATGACTAAATTGCCAATTAGTTAGACGAGGCCAAATGGAGCCCAAAGTCAACACAAAGCTTCAGGTTTCCAACCGACCAGTATGAACAAAGTTGCTTCCTGCAAAGGCTCCTGTCCCTTTACTCCTCCTTTATGTCTTATGGGAGGGGGCCAATCAACTCCAAGTCTTACTCCCAAGTCGCCCCTTTAGTTTTAACTGTTCTTGCCTTCTGGCAGCT